AAAGTGAACGTTGAGGAAGAAGATGAACTTTGGAGAAGAAGGAGTTTGTTATCAAAATATTCAACTCAACATTAAAGTCAAATGTACATCGTATCCGACTTATATACAGTCAAAATAATCAGCTAACATAAGCTTAACCAACTAACCATACTAACCTACACCACTAACATACACATATCATGTGAATAACACGTGATACACGAGTCATGGAGAAAAATAGAAAGGATAGAAGAACAAGTGGGTATGGAGTGATTTATAGCAACTTTCCATTCATGAATCAGAGAACTTATATTATTTCTGTAACTCAGAATTCAGGAAATTTGCTAATAGTTGGGAATCAAATAAACAAGAAACTGCAGGCCTATTTAAAAAAAAAATTATAACAATATTCAAGCCTAACACCTGGAGGAGATTAAATGGGATCCAAAGAAACTAGTGGGTGTTCAATAATATCACTTGTTGAAGCAACTCTCTACCAGTTATTATTACCCATACACACACACACATGCATGGTCTATTGCATTCACACGCATTTGGTTTCTTGCATTTCAATACCTAAAATTTAACACAATATGAATTAAAGTATGATCATTACTTCAGCTTCACCGTTCAGACCTGAAGTTGCAATTGGTATAACATATTTTGGGCTTCGTTAGACAATGTTTAGTGAGAAATTTATAATGTTTAATAAGAAAATTCTAAGGCTTTGAAAATTTATGGGGATGGTTTGAAAATAATCATATCTTACCGATAAACATAATATTTATTAGGGAATGAAGTATACATATAAACAAGTTTATCAGATCATCATCCTTTATATAGAGCGGAAACCAGGAAAAAAAAATAGTACTCTTTCCACAGTTTTCTATACTAATCTAATAAAAATTAAGAGATATAAAGGTTAAATGTGCGTGATGATGTATAAAGGAAAACTTATATAGGTAACTTTTTGAGTGGGGCATTAATCTGTGTGTAATTGAATAGAAACTATAAGTGTATGTAATAAATTAATAATAGTATGTTAGGTAAGGTGTCTATGGGATATTTTCCTCTGATCATATTAGTTGATGTTATTAATTATTCACGTCAGTAATCTCTTTTCCTATTCTACAAGGTAAGATATTTTTCTTCGTAGATAGCATTATTTGACGAGAATAAATGTACTATAATCTATAAGTAACCTAAACTAAAAAAGTTAATTCTAAACTGATGCTTTTGTATGGAAATACAAACTTTCAAACGGTTGTATATGGGCATGAGAGAATGAATATACATTGCAGAATTATGTGTTTAAGAAAATATTACAGAATTATATGTCTTTTGAGGAGGTTAACATGCTTTCTACTTATTTGTGCTAGTGATGTCGCTTTGTATATTGGAAAATTTTGTGTTATTTGTGAGAAGCCTAGCTAATGCGTAAAATTTTTGCTTTAATATTATATTCAAGTTATCTGATTATTTGATTTAGGCTTTTAGGTAATAGCTCAATGTGACAGCCTCTACTTATGTATAATGAGCACAACCGTCTTTGTAGAAAATTAGCCGATATAAAATGTTGAGTCACTTTGTGAAACTATGCACTAACATAATGTTGGATTAAAATGAAATAAATGTGAACACCGCCAAAAAAGAAAGAATGTGAACACAAAATTTATGATAACAAAAAAATGAAACGAGGAATAATAAGAAAGAATTGGGAAAGGCAAAGGCGCACGCTTATACAAAGAGAAAGCGATCGAGAGAGATAGAGTTGTGGTCTGAAAATGCGCATCATTATACATGCGCACCATTTACAAATGAAAACATCCCACAAAATTAATAAGACAACGAATGATTCTTGGTTTAATTTGGATTTGTTTTTTTCTTGGTTAACTTAATAAGAAATCTGTTGAAATTTCTTCTTCTAAATAGACAAAATTTTCAATGAAATTAATTTCTGACTTTACCCTAGTCTAATAATTCAAAATGAATTGATTTTTATAAAGCTATCTTAATCTAAACTAGAGAAAATTGTGACCGGACCGAACCGGATCAGACCAGAACAAAACAGACCGAAGTGGACTGTTATTTTTACGTTTCCTGACTTTCTGTTTTGAAATGTCAGTGGAAAAAAGAGAAAGCGAAGTAGGGCCCATCTCCGCCATAGCCAAAGACCTCTTTCTCTCCCACCTCATAGCTCTGTGCCCATCATTACCACGAAGAATCTCTCTCTCTTCTCTCTCTCTGTCTTTCTCTCTCTATAAGAAGAAACTTTTCATATTAGTGTGTCTCTTTTGCATCTTCTCTTTACCTTTTGGTTCTTCAAAAAAGAAATAAAGAAACCAAGAAGAGGAGAGAACGGAAACTGAGAGCTAGGTTTTGCTTTATAGGCATATATATCTATAACTTACAAAAAGATAATAAAATTCATTTCTCACTAAATATAGTAATTTCTCTCTTTTATTGTGTGTGTTGTTTGGGAGTGATGGGTAATTGTTTGTGTAGATTTGAGCCTTTTAATCACAAAGTTTCTGCAAACGCTAAGTCAGGTTTGCGTTTCTATCTCTTCTTCTTTCTTGATTTGGTGTTTTGCTTTCTTGAAATTCTTTATTGCTGCTATGAAATTTTCTTCACTATTTCTCCTGAAACTACGAGATTTTCTTCTTCTTTTTTTGACAAAAAATTACGAGATTTTCTTATGGTTCTATACCAAAAAGCTTTCACAAACTATGAAAATTCTGTCGGTTATATCCCAAAAGTATTTAGTGGACTACTTTTTTTTTACTTTCTTGGAATTATTCGGATTATGATCTGTGTATATTCATTCCCTTTTTTTTTTTTTTTGATCAACTGTGTATATTCATTCCCTTTTCCTGGTATTCTTGTTTTTATAAAAAGTCAATGTTTTTGTTCAATAAGTTTTATGTTTTTTTAGCTCAATTTGTTTACAATTTTAACCAAGAAATTAAAATATATGTTGGTGTTATTTGCCCCTTCACAATTCACATTTTTCTATTACAATATTCCATGTTGTTGAGATCTTAGACCCCCTAAAGAAGAATACTTCCAAAACCAATCAATTCCACAACGTGTTCAAATATCTGTCAAGTAGAATAGAATCTTCAACTATATCCACAGAAACAAAAACACTAGATCTTTTTATGGTTTTTGTACAGAATCACCTAAAGAACAGAGTCCAAGAGAAGAAGAGACACATGTTAAAGAAGTTCAGAAGCTGCCATCAAATCCAAAAGAAGTAGAAGATCTAAGACGTGACTCAGCTACGAACCCTCTGAAAGCTTTCACATACGATGAGCTTAAGAACATTACAGGTAATTTCAGACAAGACAGAGTTCTCGGTGGTGGTGGCTTTGGAAGTGTCTACAAAGGTTTTATTAAAGAGGAAGCGGGTAATCAAGAAGAAGTTCCTAAACCACTCCCTGTGGCCGTTAAAGTTCACGACGGAGACAATAGCTTTCAGGGTCACAGAGAATGGCTGGTTAGTAGTAGTCTCTCTGTATTTTTCTTGTCTTCCAAGCTTCACCATCAACCCTAATAGAGAATGGACTAAGAATGTTATCTATGATGTTTGATGTTAGGCAGAGGTGATATTCTTGGGGCAGCTTTCACATCCGAACTTAGTGAAATTGATTGGTTATTGCTGTGAAGATAATCACAGGGTGCTAATCTACGAGTACATGGCTCGTGGTAGCGTGGAGAACAATCTTTTCTCAAGTGAGTTTTAGAGTTCTTACACTCATTTGTCTCCTTGAATGAATAAGCAATCCTGAGTTATGTGTATACTTGGTAGAAGTGTTGCTTCCTCTTTCATGGGCCATTAGAATGAAGATCGCATTTGGAGCAGCTAAAGGACTTGCCTTCCTCCACGAAGCAAAGAAACCAGTTATTTATCGTGATTTCAAAACCTCCAACATTCTTCTAGACATGGTCAGTAGTAGTGTAGTACTTTTCTCGTGTCCCGTTGATACATATACTATTGTGGAGGCTTCATATTAGAGCTGTAACAGGAATACAATGCCAAGTTATCAGACTTTGGACTCGCTAAAGACGGGCCTGTAGGAGATAAATCACACGTCTCCACCCGTATAATGGGAACTTACGGATATGCAGCTCCTGAATACATCATGACAGGCAAGTTTCTACAATGTATTTAGCCATATTAGATTGGTGAGTTTGAATATTTTTGATGACATATGTGGTTACTTTCTTGGTGTCAGGTCATTTGACTCCAGGGAGTGATGTGTACAGCTTTGGTGTAGTTCTGTTAGAGCTTCTCACAGGGAGAAAATCATTAGACAAGTCACGGCCTACACGTGAGCAGAACCTTATAGATTGGGCACTTCCTTTGCTGAAAGAGAAGAAGAAAGTGTTGAACATTGTAGACCCGAGAATGAACTGTGAGTACCCAGTTAAGTCGGTTCAAAAGGCTGCAATGTTAGCTTACCATTGCCTTAACCGGAACCCGAAGGCTAGACCTTTAATGAGGGACATTGTGGATTCTTTGGAGCCTCTTCAGGCCACAGAAGAAGAGGTCTTACTTGTCCCCACAGTTCAGAAAGCAGTTATTACCATTATAGATGAAATGCCTAAGAATGGGTTGAAGAAAGTTGAAGAAGGTTGAAGAGTTAAAAAACGCTCAAGAGGTGAAGAAGGTTATTGAAGATGATAATTCATGTTGTAATTGATCACTTGGATTCTTTAATTTTCTAAAAAGACAATTTCAAAAGTGATAACTAGACTGTGTTGTGTGTATCTTGACATATTCAGATTAAGAGAGAGAGAGAGAGAGAGAGAGAGAGAGAGAGAGAGAGAGAGAGAGAGAGAGAGAGAGAGAGAGAGAGAGAGAGAGAGAGAGAGAGAGAGAGAGAGAGATACATATGTTCGTGAATCTTTTTTCCTTTTTACTGAAATACAGAGCTTTTAACCCTTGTGTGTTCTTTCTCACTGGTCACTTCTCAGTCAATTGTTTGCCCCACACACATTGCATTAGAATCCTCAGGTTTGAAGATTAATCTCGTGAGGCCCAATAGAAGATAGGCCTCAAATTTGTTGACCTAAAATGGGTTTGTTGTACGACACATTGTGAATGCAACTAAATTTGAACTAAAAGCAAAACAAAAACTTCAAACTTTCCTTTTTGGTTTGATATTCTTCCTAGTAAACAATCTATATATTCATCTTTTTTTTGGTCAAATCTATAGATTCATTTTCAAATAATTTATTTGAGGGGAAGTTGGGGAGATTATTAGGAACAAATAAATAAATGTGAAATATGGCCCATGGTACATAAGGCATATTGATCGTCTCATCTGTTTGTAATGTGGACACAAACTTTTGGTATATGTGGTTTAATGAAATATGCATCGTTATCCCAATCAAACGAAGAGTAAGTATGTGATGCAAGTATGTAACTACCCCCATAAAAGCTCAATATATAGCTTGGTCCATTTTCGATATACTATCTAAGAATTTCATGGTCTCATTTCTTTTTGTTTTTAATCTTATATTGAGATCATGTGATGTTACAAGGTCCCCATAATATGTACCCCCCGAAAGTTCAAGTTACAGGTCGCTCTTTATTATATCTATTTAACCATGTGTTGATATATTCAACTCTAAATGAAGAGATGCTTTAAAATTTCCCTTGTTTTTGAAACTTTCCTACAAAATGATATTTTGGTTAAGTGTTATCTTTTGTTTTATTACATTTGCTTCCTCAACTCCACCTGATGATCCGGTCAAGTGTGAGTCCGGAAATACAATATGCACGGTAACGAATTCGTATGGAGCATTTCCCGACCGCTCTATATGCGAAGCTGCAAAGGTGGAATACCCAAAAACCGAGGCTGAGCTTGTCTCTGTGGTGGCTGCAGCCACTAGAGCCGCCCAAAAAATGCGGGCCGTGACTCGGTACTCTCACAGCATTCCCAAGCTCGTGTGCACTGATGGCAAAGACGGGATTCTCATAAGCACCAAATTTCTTAACCACGTGGTCCGAACAGACCCGGAAGCCAAGACTTTGACGGTTGAGAGCGGCGTGACACTGAGGCAACTGATAGAAGAAGCGGCCAAAATGGACCTGGCTTTGCCATACGCACCGTACTGGTGGGGACTAACGGTTGGAGGGATGATGGGCACGGGTGCTCACGGTAGCTCGCTGTGGGGTAAAGGAAGTTCGGTTCATGATTACGTGACCGAGATAAGAATGGTGAGTCCCGGTTCGGTTTCTGAAGGGTATGTGAAGGTTCGGGTTCTAAGTGAGACTATGAATCCTGAAGAATTCAACGCAGCCAAAGTTTCTTTAGGAGTTCTTGGTGTTATATCTCAGGTATGTATGTATAAAATATTTTCTTGTTTTTGATAAAGGATTTATATATAAAATACGAATTATATTTTCTTGTTTGTGCTACAAATATGTACATTTAATTTTTTTCTTTTTTTTTTTTGTATATTTGGAAAGGTAACTTTCGAACTGCAACCAATGTTCAAGAGATCATTAACGTATGTTATGAGAAGCGATTCAGATTTTGGAGATCAAGCCGTGACATTTGGGGAAGAGCACGAGTTTGCTGATTTCTTATGGTTACCGAGCCAAGGCAAAGTGGTGTATCGAATAGATGACCGAGTTCCTTTGAACACTTCCGGCAATGGCTTGTTCGATTTTTTCCCATTCCGTCCACAACTCTCTGCGGCGTTAGCCGTCGTCAGATCAATAGGTTAACTTTATACATATTTCAACATGTTTTTGTTTGAATGACTAAGAGGTTCTAGGCATGTGAAGATGTATAAAAACAAGTATATATCATTTGCGTAGTTATAATGTTTCTTATATATAAGTTTGCTTTCATGGTATGAAGAGGAGAGCGAAGAGGCATTCGCAGATGTAAACAATAAATGTGTGAGAGGAGAGCAAATATCGTCATTTTTGTTTTCAATTGCTTATGGTGTGTGTAACAATGGTATTTACTTTTTACATTCACATACTTGTACCTCTAATGATTCTTTCCATACAAAGTTGATCAACTTTCTATTAAAATTTCACTTCTATAATTTTCCACCGCAGGCTTTTTATTTACAGGCTACCCGGTTATTGGAAGACAAGACCGTATGATGTCGTCCGGTGCGTGTTTAGACAGCCATCAAGATGGCCTGATCACGGCTTGTCCGTGGGATCCACGCATAAACGGCGAGTTTTTTCACCAAACAACATTCAGTGTCCCTCTCACACATGTCAAAGAATTCATCAACAACATCAAAGCCCTTGTGAAGATCGAACCAAAATCTCTATGTGTCCTTGAAGACAGCAACGGTGTTCTAATGCGCTATGTCACATCCTCTCCCGCTTTTCTTGGGAAAGAGGAGAAAGCTTTAGACTTCGACCTAACTTACTACCGAAGCAAAGATGATCCCTTGACTCCGCGTCTCTACGAGGATTTCATTGAAGAGATCGAGCAAATGGCGATATTTAAATATAACGCGTTGCCACATTGGGGGAAGAATAGGAACATAGCGTTTGATGGCGTGATTAGAAAGTACAAGAACGCAAACGCCTTTTTGAAAGTAAAAGAAAGGTTCGATCCTTCAGGGTTGTTTTCGACAGAATGGACCGATCAGATTCTAGGTTTAAAAGGAAACGTCACAATTGTGAAAGAAGGATGTGCATTAGAGGGACTGTGTATTTGTTCGGAAGATTCTCATTGTGCACCGACTAAAGGTTATTTATGTCGACCAGGTAAAGTTTATAGAGAGGCTAGAGTTTGTACTCGCATCTAAGAAAATCATACGAAAATTTATGAAATCTTCCCTTTGACGGTTGATGAATAAATAAATTTAAGTTAATGAAAAAAATATTATGAATTTTGAAAGTTTTGGATCTTTGATTCCTAATATTTTCTAGTTTAGGAATCTCTATAATATTATTTGAGAAGTCACTTTCTTAGGTGTCGCGCTTACATTAACTTTCACGCTGGTTGATTACTATGATACCCCTAATGAACTAAAAATATATTTGAATATTATTATTTCCTTTTTAAAATCTTCCAAATGACAAAATAAAACAAAAAGGAAATATTTATAAAATTTACAAAACTATTAAAAACGAAAAAATAAGTATATATAATATGGTTTCATAAAAAAAGAAAGTTTACAAATAGTAATATTTAACTTAAATATATTTTTTAATAGCATAAATTATATTTTTAAGTAATTATACTTTATATCTATATCTTCTTAGATGAAAAAAAAATTGTATATAATGTGTTTTCATATAAAAAATTCATACAAATAATCTTGATTTTAGAAAAAGAAATATTTTTTCTTTAAAAAATAATATTATTATTTCCTTTTTAAAATCTTCCAAATAACAATATAAAACAAAAAATAAATATTTATAAAATTTACAAACTATTTAAAAACGAACAAAAAAAGTATATATATTATATGGTTTCATAAAAAAGGAAAGTTTACAAAATAGTAATATTTAACTTAAATATATTTTTAAATAGCATAAATTATACTTTTTAAGTAATTATACTTTATATCTATATCTTCTTAGATGAAAAAAATTGTATATAATGTGTTTTCATATACAAATTTTATACAAATAATCTTGATATTAGAAAAAGAAATATTTTTTCTTTAAAAAAAATAATTTCAACAATAAAATGTATATATCTATCTATTTTATTAGATGATTACATAAATAATTAAGTAACATAAACTGATATATGTTTAATTGACAAAAAAATTATAATTATTATACTTATTTGATTATAATATCTTACAGTTACAGAAAAAAATATAAATTATATTTTACTTATATAATATAATTTTTCAAAACAATCACATTTTTACTGTATATTTTAAGAGATATTAAAAACAAAACTAAAAATAAATTTAATAATAAACATCTTTTGATCAAATAACTATAATTCTTTTAAAATATCATAACACTATATAATTTAACGAGGTAGATACATTATATTTTAATAGTTAAAATTATATGTTTTCTTAATAACTCTTTTGATGTTTAATGTTTTGTTTTTATGTTTGTGGAATTTAATATAACCATAATCGAAATAATTAAACAAATCAGAATTCCTTATTTTAAAAATTATTTAAAATAAATTTCAGTTCACCATCCAATCAATCTAAGGCATAAATTATTTAAAATTTATAAAATATTTAATTATTGAAAATATTGATATGTGTTCATAAGCTTCCAAAATTTTTTTATTACTTATATATGTAATACATAATCTTACTAAGATATACTTATATTTCTAAGATAACAACCAACATAAATGTATGTAAAACAATTAATCAAAAATTTAAGATATTTAGAACAAAAAAGATTGTAGTTAATTTCAGAGAAATCAATAGAACCAATATATATATATAAATATATATATATCCAAATAATAAAACTGACTAAATATAATATATCTAAAATTATATATAACTAAAATAATATAATATTATTAATATAAATTATACATAAAAACTATAAACTAATATAAAAGTTAAAGTAAATATCAATCAACTATTATAATATATTTATTTTATAAATATTTATGTCCGTGCATGAGCACGGGAAAATCACCTAGTAAAGAATGAATAATGAACTACTTATCTAAACTAAAAGTATTTTGACCAAAAAAAGTTAAAATTATTATCTTCAACCGAACCAAACGGCAAGTCCATCATGGCAATTCCAATTATGGGTTGGCTCAAATCGAATATCTCTATTTTTGAAGGTATTCGTACTCTGATTCGTTGCATATGAATAATCAATTATCCGATTCGATTTGATCTGTACATATTCGGATATTTGGTGTTCCAAAGATCAATAAAATTTAATTTTGTAACCAGATATTCAATTCGATCCGTACAACTAAAGTACAAATTAAAATAAATAAGGAATTCAAAATAATATGAAATAATAATAATTTACAAAAGTAAAAATTCTATCATTTTAAAAATTATAATAAGTAATATAATAAATTTAATAAATAAAAATACTGTAAAACTTATATAAATATAATATTTATATACTTATATTTATAATGTTTTAAAAAAACTTGATGTATATAAATCTTTAGATATATGTATTCATACGCATATAATAGATCAGATTGGATATCCATTTTTTTAAAAAATTAGTATTCGTGATTTTCTTCGTTTCTTATAGAAATTTCAATTTATTATTTGATTTGTTTTGTAGAGTTACAGATATCCGATTATTTCGGTTTGAATCAAAACATATAACTAACCGAATGAAAATTTATGAAAATTTTGTCCAGTTCTACTTCCAGTCACCATATCTTCTAATATGACTTTATCTAGCAAATATATAGATATTCTAATTTTTAAAGCAAAGATTATAATATTCTATTAATTAACATTCCTAATATATAATATTTACCAATATATAGGTTACATTATCCCCTTAGTTCAATTCCCGTTTGGAGAGCAGGTTTAGCCATGTCTCGGTATTTTTAATGTAAGTCGAACCCTTGTTTTTGAACAACATGTGAGTCGAACCTAAAACCCGGATTACCTCTCAGTTATTAAAAAAAATAAAAAAATATGACTACATATATACTGCCATAACTAGGTGATTTTCCCGTGCTCATGCACGGGCATAAATATTTATAAATAAATATATTATAATAGTTGATTGATATTTATTTTAACTTTTATATTAATTTATAGTTTTTATGTATAATTTATATTAATAATATTATTTTATTTTAGTTATATATAATTTTAGATATATTATATTTACTCAGTTTTATCATTTGGATATATATATATATTGGATTCTATCTATTTCTCTAAATTCAACTATAATCTTTTTTAATTCTAAATATCTTAAATTTTTGATTAATGGTTTTATTTAAATTTATGTTGGTTGTTATCTTAAAAATATAAGTATATCTTAGTAAGATTATGTGTTTTAAGATTTTTTGTGCTTAGAACGAAAAAAATAAAAACTAAAGTGTCTGATTCTAAATTACATACATAAGTAATAATAAATTTTTGGAAGCTTATAAAAACATATCAATATCTAGAATAATTAAATATTTTATAAATTTTAAATAATTTATGCCTTAGATTGATTGGATGGTAAACTGAAATTTATTTTAAATAATTTTTAAAATAAATAATTCTGATTTGCTTAAGTATTTTGATTATGGTTATATTAAATTCCACAAACATAAAAACAGAAAATTAAACATCAAAAGAGTTATTAAGAAAATAGATAATTTTAACTATTAAAATATAATATATCTACCTTGTTAAATTATATTGTGTTATGATATTTTAAGAGAATTTTAGTTATTTGATCAAAATATGTTTATTATTAAATTTATTTTTAGTTTTGTTTTTAATATCTCTTAAAATATGCAGTAAAAATGTGATTGTTTTTGAATCAAAACATATAACTAACCGAATGAAAATTTATGAAAATTTTGTCCAGTTCTACTTCCAGTCACCATATCTTCTAATATGACTTTATCTAGCAAATATATAGATATTCTAATTTTTAAAGCAAAGATTATAATATTCTATTAATTAACATTCCTAATATATATGTTTTCCAATATATAGTATGTTAGACTAGCGGTTTACGTTTGGTATCGGTTACATTATCCCCTTAGTTCAATTCCCGTTTGGAGAGCAGGTTTAGCCATGTCTCGGTATTATTGATGTAAGTCGAACCCTTGTTTTTGAACAACATGTGAGTCGAACCTAAAACCCGGATTACCTCTCAAATATTAAAAAAAATTAAAAAAATATGACTACATATATACTGCCATAATAAATAAATGTGATAATATGAGTATCTATATTAATAAACTGCCATAATTAATAAATTCTGATGCTTTCCTTTCTGTTTATAAAAGATCTCGTGTATATGTATATTTTATTTGTGAAAGGGAGCAGAAAAGAAAGAGAAAAAGAGTTTTTTGTTTTTTTATGGAGAAGCAAATCTTTTGTCAATTCTTGGTCGTAGTTACACTATTGTCTTCCTATCAGATCCAAGGAGATCTGAGAAAAGGATGTTACGATTCAGGTATCACAGTTTTGATGGGATGTCCGTATTCTATCGACAAGAAGCTTCCAGCTCCGCGAACACCATCCGAAGGTTGTTGCACTCTTGTACGAACCATTGGTATGAAGTGTGTATGCGAAGTCATCACTAAGGGAATGGAAGCCACCATTGATATGCAAAAGCTAGTCAATGTCGCTGCTGCTTGTGGTCGTCCCCTTGCTCCCGGTTCTCAATGCGGAAGTAAGTTTTACAAAGAATTGTGTGTTTATTCTTCATCTTATTTAATACTAGAACACAAGATGAACTGAAATATTAACCCCTTCTCTATTTGTGCTTCTTTTTTTCCAGGTTACCGAGTTCCTGGTGCATGATTGGGTTAAAAAAATAAGTGCATAAGTTGCATGCATGTTGTAAACTTAAAAGTTAAAACCGCTCCTATTTTCTAAAAAGTATTGTTTTTTTACTAAAAGCTTTTCTAAAAACTATTGTTGGCGTTGCTTAGCCCATCTTTAAAAATATGTTGCCAGAAACATACCCCATATCAAATTAGATTATGATTCCTTAAAAACAAAAATTCATATATATATATATATATATATATATATATATTTTTTTTTTTTTGAAACACCAACTTATATTAAATATCAAGCAGAAGTTAGATAACGGCCATAAAGACACCATCCCCAACCAAACATTGTTTAGCAAACTTATCAGCTACTTTGTTTGATTCTCTTGAAACCCAAGAGAAAGAGATAAACTCAAAAAAAAAACTAGCAAAGCTAACAACATCAGAGAGAATTCCATAAAGTTCTGGAGGTGATTCTCCAGATTTGAGAACTTTAATTAACTGAGAAGAGTCTGATTCACAAGAAAGCCTCTAGATTCTAATATCTCTGCAACTCACAATTGCTTCCCGCAGCGCCATTCTTTCCGCTGCTAAGGCCGGTCCAACAAAGGCCGTCGATTTAGAGAACTCAGCACAGCTCCTCTGAGACCTAATCATCCATCCAAGTCCCGCCTTAAGATCTGAGACTCTCCACGCCGCATCCGTATTAAGAATTGGACAATCCCGAACTTGATGGGTACACGTTGAGATCTTATGGGGAGGTGGAGAGGAATTTTCCTGGCAGTTTAACCATTCTTTTCCTGAGGTGATGGCCTTAAGCAGTGTCTCTTCCTCCGGTATGGTCTTGCCTTCAAACACAAGCTGGTTTCTAGCGCACCAGATTTGCCACAGGATCCAAGGCGCTAAGCCACCCAAACCAACACCTGTTGGCGGCAGGCAAACTTTCCAGCACAAGTTCGTCCATACACTATGTAAATCTATCAATCCGCTGTACTCAAACGTCGCAGCAAAGGGGGCAGCCCTCCAGATATTCTTTGCATACTGACAGTAGGCCTGTTCTTTTCAAAGACTGTGACGCAGGGACCTGCGTCAAAACTTATAACTAACTTCTCGCCCAACTATGTGGAGACTACCACCGCCGGCGGTACTTTTGACGCCCGAAACCAGCCGCATCACCATTTTAAGTGACGCTATTTAACACAGCGGCAGAAGAGCTATCCGAAATCCTTGTAAATGTTGATGGATGCGTCACTTGATTATTAAGCCACTTTTGATTTTGCCTAATTTGATGATTGATTTTTGATCGCAGGTCCCTGTGTCAGAGTCTTTGAAAAGAACAGGCCTAGTGTAAGAATAGATGATCTATAGATTCTAGTGTACCACAACATTTGCATCTGCTATCCAAGGTTAGGTTTCTTGCAGCCAGGATCTCACCCACCGGAATCCCCCGTTGAAACAGTTTCCACAGGAACATTTTGATCTTTGGTGAAATATGTAAGTTCCATACACATTTAAACCAATTGAAAGTCGGTTCATCCTCTGCATCCTCAGGTTCCTCTGTTCTCTTCTTAATTGCAGCATGGTAGCCGGACTTTGTCGAGTATTCACCCGAAGGTGTGCTCAGCCAAACTTGTTTGTCAGGAGCCCCCACCAAGCTTGGTTTTATCGTCTTAATGATCGTCTCCCATTCTGGCAGGAGGTGTCTTATTTTTTCCTCATCCCAGATTCTTGAGTTAGGTTGGAACAGATCGGCCACCTTGATGTTCAAAGACGCCTCTGTTGGCGGTCCCATTGATCGCAACTGAGATGAGAGACTAAGCCAAGGATCCTCCCATATACGGATCGAGATACCATTTCCAACCACCCATCCCATATTTTCCTTCAAAAGGTCCCTCCCTAGTAAAATTTCTCTCCACCCATGAGAGATTGAAGACTTCTCAGTCACCTCCATAAAGGTTTCCGAGTGAAAATATTTTCCCTTGAGGATTCTTGATAGTAACAGATCAGGATTGTTATAGATTCTCCATCCTAATTTCCCCAATAAAGCATCATTCCAAGCTTGGAAATCCCTAAATCCCAGTCCTCCAATAACTTTAGGTCTAGTCATCGTTGCCCATGATGTCCAAGCCATTTTGTTTTGACCGTCTTTGTCGTCCCTGAAGAAGCGTGTTACTGCTGCTTGAATCCTCTTACACAGTGACACAGGTAGCTTAAAGCAAGTCATCGAGTAAGAGGGGATAGGTGATAACACGCTCTTGATCATAGTCAGTTTCCCCGCTTTCGATAAGAAACGGTTTGTCCAACTACTCGTCTTTTCCTTGATCCTATCCACAATGGAAGTAAAGAGATCCCTCTTCCTTCTACCAAATTGTTCCGGTAATCAAAGGTACTTACCAACTCCCCCCTCCTTTTGGATATTTAGCTCATCCTTTACCATCTTACGCAAGGCAGCCGGTGTTTTCCTTGAAAAAGAAACGGATGATTTCTCAGTGTTAATCGTCTGTCCAGAGGCTTCTTTGTATCATAGTAGAATGCTGTTTAGACTTTGGCTACTCTTCAAGTTTGCACTTGTAAAGAGCATCGTATCATCGGCGAAGAGGAGGTGGTTAACTTGGGGGCATGCCCTAGCTACACTGATTCCTTTTAGAGAACCCTCTTCACTTGCTCTGTTACACAGTCCCGAGAGGACTTCACTACACAAGATAAATATGTATGGTGAAAGAGGATCTCCTTGGCGGAGTCCTCTACTCGGTGATACCCTTCCTCTAGGCGAGCCGTTAATAAGGTAGGAGTATGTAACAGTGGAGATACATTCTAAAATCCACTCAATCCAAATGTCATGGAAACCCAATTGCTTCAGTACCAGCCCGACGAATTCCCCTTCAAGCCTGTCATAGGCTTTACTCATATACGTCTTAACCGCCATTGTACATCTTTTCTCTGCATCTGAGGTTTTTAGATAGTGGAGAACCTCATGTGTTATGAGCACATTATCCGCAATGGCTCGACCAGGGACAAATGCGGATTGGTTCTCCAAGATAATCGTCGATAACAGCGGTTGCATCCGTTTTGTAAGTAGCTTGGATATTATCTTGTAATATACATTACATAGCGGGATGGGCCTATAATCTGCTACTATTTGTGGAGTCTTTATCTTCGGGATGAACCTGATGTTTGTCTCATTAATCCTCGGTGGTAATTTCTTGGAGGTGAAAAAACGCTGAATCTCAGTCGTAATATATGGGCCGATGGTTTCCCAATTGGAGTAGTAAAAGCTTGCCGAGAAACCGTCTGGCAAGGAGCTTTATCAGCATGAATGGAGAAAACCGCCTCCTTTATCTCAGTTGCTGTAGGGATGCAAAAGAGCCTCTCATTATCTTCGTCGGAGACTCTTCTTTGGAGGGCATACGCCACAATATCTGCACGCTCTCCTTCCATTGAAATGAACAGCGAGTGGTAGTACTGAACAATCACCTTGGTGATATCCTCTTCTTTGTAAACCATGTTGCCTTCGCTGTCCTCTAGAACTGAAAAGGAGGTAGCTCTTCTCCTCTTCTTTGTAACCGCATGGAAGTATCCAGTGTTGCGATCTCCTAGTCTCAGCCATAATAATCGGCTCCTATGTCTCCAGAAATCTTCTTCTGCTCTATAGACCGTTTCCAGCTCCTCAGCAATCTTTTTTATCAAGTCTCCATCATTTATGGGGTCCACTAAGGCTAATTTCAGTTCCTGTTTTTTCCTCTCTATCATCAGTTTGCTATTTCTGAACTGCTTCTTGCTCCACTCCACGATGGCTGTCCTTGTCAGAGATATCTTCGCCTGAATGGAACAGCTCCCTGCATTTTTCCAGACACTCTTAACAAGCTCTCATCATTATCCTTCAGTCTCCGGTCATACCGAAACATCCCTTTTCGCCTTTTCCTTCCCGACTCAAACACTTCATAGTCGAGATAATGGCCTCTCGTAGTCGGGAAAAGCTCAGCCCAGGAGCTATTTGCCGCAGCTCGATCTAGCCTACATCGAACCAAATGCTCATTTTGCTTTCCTCTCCATGAAAGGAGATCTCCAGAATGGGGTAGGTCATAGAGGTCACCCTCTGAATAAAAAGATCGCAAATCCCCGAAGGAACCTTCAGGCCTTTCAGGTCCTCCTTCCTTCTCCTCATTACTTAGAATGTCATTGAATTCCCCGGTAATAAACCAAGGGGTGTCTCTACTGATCATTAAGGCTACCATTTGATTCAAAAAGGTTCTTCGTTTCAGATAATCAGTATCACCATGGATAAAAGCAGCAAAAAAGGGTTTCCCTTCATACTCGATACACGTATCAATAAAATTCGCATTAGAAGATAAAACATGAAGCTTGATTTCTTGTTTCCACAGAATCACTAATCCTCCTGCTCCATGACCAGTAGGCGAAATTAGGTGATGATGGTCAAAGCTCAGTTGGTCTGTTTTGCTCAGTACGAAAGGGTCGGAATTTTTTGTTTCCATTAGGAAAATAATGTCAGGAGATATGGACCGATTTATCTCCTTTAGACGTCGAACTGTCCAGGGATTCCCTAACCCCTGACAGTTCCAGCTCACAATCTTTAAGGACCGGGAATGGATGGAATACGAAAATCCATATTTTTCCTCGTTGACTGTGGTATCATGTTGCATATTGGTCTATTATCTGAGCTAGTTGTGGAAGATGCAGCACGCTGTCCTCCACGAGAACTACCTGTTGTGTCATTTGCTGCAGTCGAAGCCTTCCTCCTTGCATTGACTTTTTTCCTAAGTGGAGAAGGTTTATTCGGCACAACTCTTCTTCTTCGTGAGCCCTCTCCTTGTGTCACTTTTGTGCTGTCTTGCACTGTTCTAGAGCCCGGAGGATGCCCTCTTTTCTTCTTTCCGTTTGATGTATCCCCCAATGTCTCCTCACTGTTTAGTATTTCCGTCCCAGATTGCAAACGCAGAGATGCAGGAACACGCGCCTGTAATGCAGGGGACAGAGGTGGTTCATCCCCTTCCCCGCTTCCGGAACTCCTCAAATTAGGTTGGGGGGATGTAGGAGGTCCTAACCGGAGGGTTGCAGGGACCCTTTCCTGAGAGTTAGGAATTGCCTCGGTAGAGACTCTTCCGAACACTATTCCTTGAGAAAGAGGGTTGGGTCCCAATCTTTGAGGTTCTGGGACTCTCTCTGGGGTACCCCCACGATTGTCCCCCTTTTGCCTCTCTACACTAGTCCCCAGCGACGATCTAACCATTTGTATCGCAGTTTCTTCAAAGTCTCCTTCTTCTTCGGATTGTCTAGATCGTTCCTCCCTAGCTTCTCTCTCTGTGGGATTTGCACTTTTGGTATACTGCAGCATAGCTTTTTTCACCTCTCCCAAAGCTTCATTAACTGCTTTCTGGGGTAGCTGGTTTAATCTAGGATCTAGGGGATTCCCCCCGTTTGGTGACTCATATACGTTCTTTGAGGCACTCGAGCCGGTATCTTTTGCTTCAGGGAGAATCTTATTAGTTTCTCGATAATAGCTTCTGCTAGGAGGTGCAGGAAGTTCTTGTTGCCGAGATGAGTCTCGAGGGGGCCGTGCATATCTCTGTTCTCCATAGTTTGATCTTTCCCTTGCTTGAGAGGTTCGACGGTATATGCCCCTTTCTCGTACCAAGGCTGTGATTGAGCTTTATATATCCTTGACTGCTCGCCTCCTCTAGATCTCTTATCAAAGCTTCTTATGCAGTCTTCTCTAATGTGTGATGCAGAGAAATGAAAACCCTCTCCTATTCTATGTTCCCTCTCTTGAGAGAATTTGTTCACATGGGACGTATCAGATGGTGGTCTGGCCGCTCCTTTAAACCGGTCTGAAATGTCTGCAGAAACCCCTGCAACTATCTCTTGGGTTTCTTTCAATGCTTTTTGCTCTACCCTGGCCACTAAGCATTCTTTCAGTTCATGGTCCAGCCGGAGACACTTTGTACAATGCTTGTCCAAACGCTCATATACTAGAGTGGTAACCACCTCATCCCCATTTGGGAATTCAACTACTGCTTCTTTTATCAATGGGAGAAGACCATCGACATGAACTCGCATTCTTGCAAATTGAGATGTGATTTCTGCTTTTTCATATAGACCGATATCTGCTCCAATGCATTTGATGGTCTCTTCCGTCCAGAGATGTACATGTAGGCCTTGCACTTTGATCAAAAAAGGGATCAACGACAGGAAAGTGGGAGATATTGTAGGTTCCCACCTCTGCAGGATCACTAACCATCTGGCATAGTGATAGGGTATCTGTTCCAGGACAAAGAGCAGGTCCGCTTCTAGCTCAAATTGGAATTGAAATAGTCCATTTCCCAAATCTGAGCCCACAGGTCTAAACTCAGTTTTCCAATGCTCAGTGAAGAAAGGTATTAAGTTCCACACCTTTTGAACTGATTTATTAGTCGTGCGTCCAATGAGCGTCAGAGTGTGTTTTCGTAACAGATCAGAGTTGTCCGGAAGGGGGACTTTCACTCGAGCAGCGCGAGTTGGTCTCTGAAGTCCTAAATCCAACCCTTTTCCTTTTTCTGCTGATGAGATTCTTCTGTGAGCCATCTTGGAGAAATCTCAAGATAGCCCTTTGATTTTACTTCTAAGCTTATACCAGGGAGGGAAACTTACACAACAAACTACAAACAAACAAATTATCGCTTCAGAGAATCCCCTTTAGTCAAACTAGTTGTTTTGTTGCATAGATATGCAATCCTCTACAGCTCTCTATACTGTGTCTTCTTACTTTGCTGCCGAGGAGATGAAACCACGCTGCATTCTATGTATATGATTCATCATCGGAGCGGCAAAATTTGGACGGCGGTCCCTCCGACGCCGGGCGGGGGAAGAACCCGGTGTGTAAAACTGCAAGGCTGCGTTTGTACCGCGGGATAATCCCAAACAGGGAAAGAAATTCGAAAAGTCTGAGCAGAGTACTCTGGATAAAAGGCAGTAACAAGACATGAAGCTCTTTTGTCTATTGGATAATAACTTCTCTTGAAACTTGGGGCTGGGAGAAACCTCTCTCTAAACTTTATATATATATATATTATTTTTTTGTGACTGAAACAAAAATCATATATTACGATAGATAATTCGACACGCAAATGTGAACCAATACCATTAAGTTGATCGCTTCCCCATAACACCATTTTACTGCTTTTTGTTCGGTTAATTATCTGCTAAACATATCCCACTGAATATATAATAAATACATTTTAAAAAAGTTTTTTAAAAATAACTAACTAACAATATATATATATTAGTAAATTTCAACAACAAACAGAATTACAATAGTACATTGTACATAGAGAATATTGGGCCGTCAACTTAAGAAGTTTTTCTTATGACGCTTGTTGCAATATTGGTAGATCAATGAGTTTTTCTCATGGTCAACTCATGTGATCTGTAATAGATGATGACTAGGGGTTTCTATATTTTGTGCGGCCCATTTCATCTGAATAGCTTCATAGCAGATAAGATTGCAAGTTCTTGTAATCAAACATTCATTACCAAATTTGTGATATTTACATTCTTAGCACAAAAAGAAAACATAAGAAGTACTGGAAGATGAAAAATGTTAAAAAAAAAAAGTACCGGAAGATCTGACATGTAGTTATTAATAATACTATTAAGCTAATTTTTAGCTTTAATTGTATTGGGCAATTAAGCTAAGTATAGGACGAAGTTCGTATTGGTATTAACCTCATTGCAATTTTACAAATTAGTAGATGGATTTTTGAATTCTAAGATAAGCAATTTTTCAATCAATATTTTCAGTTTATAAGACCATCCGCAATGGCGAATCCTTAGGGAAATATTAATTTTATAATCAATGGGTCTCATGAACAGTTAAGGATTTTAAGGAAAAAATCCTTATGTAAGGATTGATCCTTACACTATTTGCGGGCTCCACTGTCCACGTGGCGGTCCGTGAGTGGTCAGGATTTTTTTTTTTAATAAAAAATCTGAAATATCCTTATATAATCCGAAATACCTCTTTTTCTTTTTTCCTAAGGATTCTCCCCAAGGATTCGCCATTGCGGATGCTCTAATATTCTTAGCGACTCTAAACGCAAACATTGAATGGACATGTTTTTATAGGATACCCCCTAGCCTAGGCTAGCCTAGCCCAATAAACCCTTCATAAATATGGATTCACAGACGGCCCATAGTTCATTTTTTTTTTTCAGCAACCTTCGAAAACTAATTCATTGTAAATGAGAAATGAGGTTTATGGTAACTTCGATTTCAAAATATTGTAGCCAAACGAGAAGTAATTGAGGGTCTACAAAAGGCTCCTAACTTTCGATTTAAAAAAAGAAAATTGTGTTAACGCGTCGATGGAATTATAATAAGTTAAATCTCATCGTATCATTTTCAGAAGAGTAACTGTGTGATGTAATTACCCGAAAACCCCCGAAAATATAGCTAGGTCCACATTCTACTAACATCTCTCAATCTGATTTTCTTTGTCATATAATATAACCACAAAAGCTCACTCTACAGGTCGCTCTTAATATAATAATACTATGTGATAATAAATCAAACGATAAGTAATATATAAATGAAACGATGCAACACAAACATGCAAAAACCACGACCATATTTTATCCTATGTAAATTAATTTTTTCAGGGTGTCGTGAAGAACATATGATTTGTTTTTGTGTTCTCTGAATCAAGAACAACCAAGTTTTCGAATATGAACACTTTACCTAAGATTTATTTCTATTAGTTTACTGCTCGATTTGTCGAGAAAAGGTTACATAGTGTGCAATTTTGAATGATCAATAGATTTTAGTGATACGGTAATTGGTGATGCGGTAAGTATAGTTTTTCGTATATTTCATTATTTCAAGATGTCTGAAAGTTGATGGAAGAAGAGATAGAAAATGATCTTCAATATGATCTGCAAGGAAACTTCCAACATTTTGGTTTATTCTTTGATCTAGTAAAGTATTTATGGAGGAGAGAAACACTAAGTAACTGCAACTGCATTTCAAAGTATATTCTTTGATCTAAGCAACTGCATTTCAAAGTATATCATACTTTAAAAGCTGGCGAGTGGTTACTGTGAGTCTGTCACTATCATCACCATTACCCTTTTTTTTAGGGGGGCGGGGGGTGTTTGTTCATATTCTTTTCAATAAAACCACTGTTAAGAGGTACAGCGACAACAAATTGATAACAAAATTAAGGGAGAGAACTGGATGTTTTTCCTTGAAACTTCTTTTTTTTTTCTTTTGCTATTTTTGGCTTTAACCCATCAACAAGAAGTTATTGACGAGAAACATTTTCTTACAAGTTTTGAGCATTTTCTAACTCAATCATATACCTTAAAGTTGCAAGTGGGTTGCACTATGACTCATATCCTTCGCAGCCTTTTCTCTTTGGAATTGTGCATAACTTTTTTTTTACGTTTAGTAATAACTTGTGAGAATATAGTTAGATGCAACAGCTACCACTAAAGTCTTCAAAACAATTTAATATGATTTTTTATATATAGTTTAGATGAGATGGCATTTAGGGTTCAATTCATCGAACCAAGTAACAAAACTGTGTTAAGATGATAAATATACAATATATCGATATATATAAAAATATACATAGCTTTGAAAAAGAAGAAGATAAATGCGGACATAATATATAGGTATAGACCACAAAAGCTCACATTACAGGTCGCTCTTTATCTCTTGTATTTAATAATACCATGTGATGATTAATTGAAACTTTAAGTAAGACATAAACGAAACGATGCACAAACATTTCCCTTTAAAAACTCCACACGCAAAAAGAAAAGAAAAAAAACACCTCCCTTGCAATTAGACAAGTGTCTTTAAGAAATGGCATTTTGGCTAAGTGTATTAGTCTGTTTTTTCACCTTCGCTTGCTCAACTCCACCCGAAGATCCGGTCAAGTGTGAGTCTGGAAACACCGTATGCACGGTTACGAATTCGTATGGAGCATTTCCTGATCGCTCTATATGCAAAGCTGCAAAGGTGGAGTACCCAAGAACCGAGGCTGAGCTGGTCTCTGTGGTGGCTGCAGCTACTAGAGCCGGTCAAAAGATGAGGGTTGTGACTCGGTACTCTCACAGCATCCCCAAGCTGGTCTGTACTGACGGAAAGGACGGTATTCTCATAAGCACCAAATTTCTAAACAATGTGGTGCGAACCGATCCCAAGGCCAAGACTTTGACAGTTGAGAGTGGCGTGACGCTAAGGCAACTGATCAAAGAAGCGGCCAAGTTGGAGTTGGCTTTACCGTACGCACCGTACTGGTGGGGACTAACGGTTGGAGGGATGATGGGCACGGGTGCTCACGGTAGCTCGCTGTGGGGTAAAGGAAGCTCGGTTCATGATTACGTGACCGAGATGAGAATGGTGAGTCCCAGTTTGGTTTCTGAAGGGTATGTGAAGGTTCGGGTTCTAAGTGAGACTATGAATCCTGAAGAATTCAACGCAGCCAAAGTTTCTTTAGGAGTTCTTGGTGTTATATCTCAGGTATGTATGTATAAAATATGAATAATATTTTCTTGTTTTTGATAAAGGATTTATATATATAAAATACGAATTATGTTTTCTTGTTTGTGCTACAAATATGTACATTTAATTTTTTTCTTTTTTTTTGTATATTTGGAAAGGTAACTTTCAAACTGCAACCAATGTTCAAGAGATCATTAACGTATGTTATGAGAAACGATTCGGATTTTGGAGATCAAGCCGTGACATTTGGGGAAGAGCATGAGTTTGCCGATTTCATATGGTTACCGAGCCAAGGCAAAGTGGTGTATCGAATTGATGACAGAGTTCCGGCCAACACTTCTGGAGATGGCTTGTTCAATTTCTTCCCATTTCGTTCACAACTCTCGGTGGCTTTAGCTGTCGTCAGACGTTTAGGTACTCATATATTTATTTGATCTGTATAGTTATAATACTTCTAATATATATATATTTGGTTAATGATGTGAAGAGGAGAGTGACGAGGCGTCGCGTGATGGAAACAAGAAGTGTATGAGAGCAGCAAAGCGTTTAACATCCTTTTTGTTTGAAATCTCATACGGATTGACCAATAATGGTAATCATCTCTCTTGATTATTAATTTCCGTATATAAATTTTTTTTTTTAAAATGGTTTACGTTTATATTATAACCGTACGTAATTTCCACCGCAGACTTTATATTCACAGGCTATCCAGTTATCGGAAGACAAGACCGTATGATGTCGTCCGGTGCGTGTCTAGACAGCCATGAAAATGGATTGATCACGGCTTGTCCGTGGGATCCACGCATAAAAGGCGAGTTTTTTCACCAAACAACATTTAGTGTTCCTCTCACACATGTCAAAGACTTCATAAGAGACATCAAAGCACTTGTGAAGATCGAACCAAAATGTCTCTGCGTCCTTGAACGCAGCAACGGTATTCTAATGCGCTATGTCACATCCTCCCCTGCTTATCTTGGAAAAGAGGAGAAAGCTTTAGACTTTGACCTAACTTACTACCGAAGCAAAGATGATCCTTTGAGACCACGTCTGTACGAGGATTACATTGAAGAGATCGAGCAAATGGCGATATTTAAATACAAGGCGTTGCCACACTGGGGAAAGAATAGGAACGTAGCTTTTGATGGTGCCATTAGAAAGCACAAGAACGCAAATGCGTTTCTAAAAGTAAAGGAGAGGTTCGATCCTTTGGGGTTGTTTTCTACGGAATGGACCGATCAGATTCTAGGTTTGAAAGGAAACGTGACGATTGTGAAAGAAGGATGTGCATTGGAGGGACTGTGTATTTGTTCGGATGATTCTCATTGTGCTCCCAACAAAGGTTATCTGTGTCGGCCTGGTAAAGTCTACAGAAAAGCTAGGGTTTGTACTCGTGTAAGCGCTTGAAAGTGTGATTATTTCCAAACTACTAATTTAAAAAGCATCCTACGGAATCATCTTAATTATCGTGTCGATGATCTTATCTCTCGAAAGCTTTGGATTATTAATTGAATAAGTCATGCTAAATGCCAACAATAAGATAGAAAGCAGGTGATGGTCTTCAAATTACACTTTTTTCATGGTTAAACCATAAACTTTAAGTGGACAAAGAAATTCACATAAACTTATGAATGATGTGTCATAACGATACCGGGAACTAGGTAGCCTGCAAAACGTAAAAGAAAATCCACAGGAAAATCAAAATAAATATTAATCTGCAAGACATATCTCGTAATGAAATGAAGAATTTAATATGTATTCAGATGCTTCCGTCAGAACGTCTATATTCATATGTCAACATAACTTAAGTTGGGACTTGGGACTTACTTCCGCATTGTGAACGAGGAGCAAGTGGACGGCCACAAGCGGCGGCGACATTGACGAGTTTTTTCATATCAATGGTGGCTTCGATTCCCTTATTGATGACTTCGCATACGCATTTCATCCCAATGGTTCGGACAAGAGTGCAACAACCTTTGGATGGTTTAGGCGGATTTGTCAGCTCCTTGTCGATAGCATCTCCACAACCCAACAGAACTTCGATGCCTGAATCGTTACATCTCTCCCCTTGGACTTGAGATGAACACAACAACATACATACCACTAGAAACAGACAAAAGATTTGTTCTTTCATAATTGCTTTTTGCTCTTTTCTGGTCTTCTCCTTTACGGCCCCTTATGTGTATTTAAATACAGAAATTAGGTAATGATGACAATTTGCTTATTTTGGCAATTGTACAATATACATCCATAAAATCTTATCAATATATAGACATATATCTGTATTAATTATGAAGAATATATCAAATATTATTACACATACAGATACAGTATATACATGTATGTGAATAAAGAGTATATAAAATATTTACCTTCCTAAAAGGAAAGCGTAATCGTAATGACCAGATTCGTATAAATCGAAACTATAATTAAGTAAGATATAAATGAAACGATGGCGAAACATTTCCATTGAAAATTTTTATATAAAAAAAAAAATTCCCTTGCAAATGCCAGTTCTAAAAAGTTATCTTTTGTTAAAAAGAAAGTAACCTCTCTTTGGTGAATTTTCTAAACCACCACCAAACTAGTTTTTTAACGCGAAGTTCTTGTTGCCGGCGGCCGAAGCCGACGGAATCTTTTAGTTTTCCCTAATCTATTAATAATAACAATTCTGATTAATTCCAAAGGTTGTGATTGTGTTTTCATTTTTTTTTTCTTTATTACAATGTGTCTGTTCAAAATTTAATTTATTTAAAAGAATCTGTTGATTTTTAGAAAAATAATATTTCATTTTTCTGAAACAATGTGTCTTTTAATAAATTAGTTAATTTGAAAGAAGGTATCTATTCAAATAAAAATATTTTTTTTTCAAAAGATGTATTAATAGAAAATTGTGTCTATTCATTAAAAACAACTATAATTTGAAAATTTGTAATTTCTAAAAGATTTTTTTTTTAAGTTGTGTCTATTCATATAAATATCTTTACAAAATAACTACATTTAAATTGTTAAAATATGACTACTTAAAGTAAAATTTTTTTTGACTATTCATATAAATATATTTAAAAAATAAATACTTTTAAATTGAAAAGAATGTGACTATTAAATTAAAAAGTTGTGACTAATTATATAAGTATCATTCAAAAATAAGAATCTTTATATTGAAAAGATGCGACAATTCAAATAGATCTTTGAAAAACTATAAATAGAATGTTCATGCCTTTCAAAGTAAAAAAAAAACTATATTAATTATATTAGTTATTTTTATTAGTTAATCTATTATTAATAGATATAACTGCCATAATTTAATTGTTGAAAGATGCAACTGTTAAATATCAAATATTCATCCCCGAAAGATGCCTCTAATAGTTATGAAGATTGATATGAAAAGTTGTGTCAGTTGCTTATGTCTATTCATTCTAAATATATATAATATGTGTTGTACAACACTTGGACTTAAAATCTCATTCTTTTTAAGGACATCTTGTATCGTTTAGTGATACGTCATCATCTCCTCTTCTCTTCTTCCTCCAACTTTGTAACGCTGTATTTTCTCTTCTCATGTTACAATAACAACTTCCAGAACTTGTATCCTGATCTTCTCCACTCGTGTTACTACAATAACTTCACAACATGTATCATAATCTTCATAATCTTCGCTTCTCTTCTTCCTCCAACTCTGAAACACCGTCGTCTCTTCATGGAAGTATTCCGGGGGTTGCGGCAACGTCGAATAAGTGAGTTTAGCTAAATAGCCTTAATGTATGATTTATATAGTGTATGATGGAAATGTTTCTTGTGTTTTGTCTGGATGATCAGGTATGATTCAATTCTAAGTGCAAAGGACATTTCTGGTTTGTGCAAGACTCCTCATTTGAAAGTGGCAGATTTCTCCTACAACTTTTTCCATGGAAAGATCCCGACTTGTTTGAATTACCTTCCAATGTAATATAAAATCCATTTTATCTCTGCCTCGGATGTACTTTGTTTCATCTGATAATATCTCTCTCTTTGTTGCGTGGTAGAGAGAGGTCTCAAGGAAACTGCATGAAAACAAAAGGCAATCTAGACCTACATACTGAAATCTGTAATTTGATTGATGAAAAATCAGTATATAAGAGAACAATTTGAAGGAAGAGAACAGAGAGGATGACATGTATAAATCTTTTCAAGAGGTGGCATTGTTTTTTTAAACAATTAAGAGGTGCCATTGTTTTTTTTTTTTTTTTTTGACTGAAGGTACCATTGTTATTTGAGAGGGCGTTAGTTAGTTCTGGAAAGACAAAAGATGTCTGTTAGATTGCGTAATTAAAACAACTTTGATTATTAGATGTAATTTTTTTCCTATAAAATAATGATGACTTCAGCAGTTAATAAAAAATAGGTTTGCTATTATGTATAAATGTTATTTTTGAAAAGATATGTCTACTCAAATTATATTATAAAATATTATTTTATCATTTTTAAATAAATACTTTTAATTTAAAAAAGTGTGACTATTCAAAGGTGCTTTTAAATGATGTATATTCATAATATATATTTCTAGAGATATCATTTTAAAATAAATACCTAAAATTTCAAAAGTTGAGTATATAAGATGTAATTTAATGTTGAAAGATTGTGTCTATTCAATTAGATAACTATTGAAAAATAAATAATGATGAAAATTGTTTATTGTCAACCATTTAACTATTAGAAGATGAATGTTTGTGGTTTTTCACTATGTAACTATTTTTAAATGGTAATGAAAAAAAATTGGCTGTGTTTTTTGATCATATGAATGTCTGTTTAAATAAAGTTTTTTTTTGTAATGATGTGTATCTTCAAAAGATATTGTAGAGACTCTAAATTTAAATAACTACCTATAATCTGAAAGTTGTGACCATTCACATACAGTAAAACCTCTATAAATTAATAATGTTGGGACTTTGAAATTTTATTAATTTATAGAGATATTAATTTACGAAAGTTTCCTTATTTAGATTTTTTATTATTTTTCCATTTTTAGTTATAAAATAAAAAATATATTTTTGATTTTAGCATATATACATTATTTAAATTTAGAAATTGGACCTTTATATTGTTTTATTATCTTNATTATTTTTCCATTTTTAGTTATAAAATAAAAAATATATTTTTGATTTTAGCATATATACATTATTTAAATTTAGAAATTGGACCTTTATATTGTTTTATTATCTTATTTGGTGTATATTTTTATGTTTCATAGAATTGTTAAATAAAATTATTTTATAGTAAATATAAAACCAACAATATAATGTTAGATTGTACTTATATAAAATTATATATAGCTAGATTATTAATTTATGATTTTAGTGGGACCATATATTTACATGGCAGTTTTAAAAATATTATTATCTTATTATTTTATCGATTTGTGTCATATTTTACACCGGCCCAAGTTGGGACCGGTGAAATTTATTAATTTATAGAGATTATTAATTTATCGAGTATTAATTTATAGAGGTTCTACTGTATATAGGTTTTCTAAAGACATCATTTTAAATAATTACCTATAATCTGAAAATTTGTGACTTTTTGTATATAGTTTTTTTTAAATATAAGTGGTTTATGTTAATGAGTTTCTTATTATAAGTTTATGATTATAATTTTCTTAATTTATTAAAATAATTATTTTTATCATATGAATGTTTTTAATTAGTTTATTTTGGTAATGATGTGTTTCTTTAAAGAGTATTGTAGAGATTCCATTTAAATATAACTACCTATAATCTTAAAAGTTGTGAGTATTCAAATATAGTTTTGAAAACTATAAATAGTCCATCTTCATGAGTTTGTTATTGTAAATATTTTGCAATTTAATAGAATAATAGAAATATTATTAAATGCTGAATGGTTACGTTTTTCAATTAGGTAACTATTGAAACTAAATAGTGATGAAATGTTGCGTATTGTCAACCATTTAACTATTAGGATATGAAAGTTTGTGGTTTTTCACTATGTAACTATTTCAAATGGTTGTGAAAAAAAATTATATGATGTTTTTTGATCATATGAATGTTTTCTAAATTAGAGTATTAATTTTGTAATAATATGTCTCTTCCAAAAATATTGTAGAGACACTATTTAATAAGTACCTATAATCTGAAAAATTGTGACTATTCATATATATCTTTAGAAAACTATAAATAATCCATTTTCCTGAGTTTATTATTGTAAATATTTCACAATTTATTAAAATGGTCAAGAAGATACATTTTGTGTAGTTACCTGGTTACAAATATTTAGAAGATTTTCAAGGAAACTTTGTTAAACAAATAATTATAGGAAGAGTCATTCGTATTTGTCTAGAAAAATTTCCTGAATGACATAATAAAGTTATAAGTCTAAATTTTCTTCTACCAAAGGAAAATGTGTTTTCTTGTTCTTACAAATTTTTCATTTGTGATCATGTATGTTCTAAATTTTTTTCTACCACATATTCATACACTTTGGTTATATAAGAATGATATCAAAGACAGTTTTAGGATAAAAACACACATTTAAAATTTAATTAATAGTCTCAGGATAAAAACACACATAATTAAAATTTAATTAATATTTATATACAATCGTAAAATAGATTAGGAAATGGAGAGATTCTTTTTTTTAAAGTTCATTGGAGATCTTGGAAAAACATATAATCATGAAAAAATTCATTAGTTTGAAAAGATTGTCAAAATATCTAAGGATGTGTCTTTTCATTCTAAAAATTACATATATATGTTTAAAAAAAAGTGAATTTATCTTTTGTCTATTTATCTACATTTTAAATAATCTTTGAAGTTTTATATAACAATAATCTGGTAGTTCTATTTTCTGAGTAATTTAATTACTTTAACAATATTATATATGCACAAAATTAAATATACTAATACTTGTATCTTTTCAATTTCAAAATGTTATTTTGTGGTTGGATAAATCAAAATTTTCACTTAATCACAAAACTACTAATGGAAAGTACATGTATTGTCAATGAAGAAATATAATTCCTTGCAAGATATTGTGTAATATGTTTCCTCAAATATAATTGTAAAAGTTTTTTCAAAAAAAAAATGTATACAAAATATATAGTTTATTTGTTTTTATAAAATGATTTCCCGTGCGATATTG